GTGAAATATATTTATGTTTGTGGTTGTAATGTGACAAAATATGGAAAAGTTCAAGGGGTATGTATACTTTTGCAAACCACTGTATATTACTAGAGGTGCTAATGACATGAAATTTTCACCAGATGTCGGTAACAACCCAAGTGATCCATACATACAAAGAAATCAAACCATAAATGTCCAGAAATGAAGTTATTTGTAATAATGTGGGAAAAAGTATTGAACACATGAAGAAAGGGAGGTGTAAAAAGAACAAACCACACACAAATTTCCAAGCCATCTCGTCGGCATCAAGAAAAGCTTAGCTTTGGATCAGGAAGATACAGTAACTGCACTGAAACAAACACTCAGATACCAACAGCTAAAGTAGCTCAGCTCACTAGACGTTAGTTCTTGCTAACAGAGAAATTAAAGGTGAACTATCTATCAAAGCACTCGACACAGAAAACTTAATCGGAAATTATCAAAAAGAAGAACAAAAAATACTCATTATAATAGCAAACGAAAGCAAAATAGAGAGACATTTGTTCTATAAAACCTAACTTTATATGATAACAAAGTGTGCAGTTCTTCTACTTATTTCTGATGGTAAACCATGCCCCGCCATTGCCATCTTCCTCTGTAGCTATCCAGCCTGCTTTTCCCATGCCATCAAGAGAAACATTCCACCACCATCTAGTGGTTGATTCTTTAACTTTGTAACTACATTTGTTCAGATCACAAATGCACACATACATACATACGTATATAAACAATCTTAGAAAATTAAAAAGTAGAACTAAGGGATGTTAAGCTATTGTTCTTTCTTTTTTCTCTCTCTCTCTTAAAGGAGACTAATTATGGGTCCTAGAAATTTTTATGGTGTATCTGTGGGCTATCCAGACCATGTTCATTCAATTTAATGCACAAAATAATTCTCAGATAATAAAATTTCCCATTTTCTAGTTCTGCCTGCTCTAACTTCCGTTCAGAAGAGCTGTTTATGTTAATGAGCTCTGTTGGTAACGCCCTCCAAAAATCTGTTGACATTAACTCCGCCCTCCAAAGCCAGCGTTTACGTTAGCATGGCTAATAATAGCAGAAGCTCTAATGTACAACCATATGAGACCCTGTGAGACCCAGAGGCTGAGTCGTGGTCGCAGCTTCTTTCTTTTTTTTTCTCTCCCTCCTCTGCTCTGCGCTCACTCTGCATGCTGTTACCAGAGCAGGGAGCAGCAGTGGTCAAAATACCTCAGAAACTCGAACAAATAGGCTTTAACAAGGCTTTAATAAGCTAAAGAATAGAGGTACATGAGAAAAAGTGTTCATAACGAATGAAAATAAATAAATAATTAAATTGTGTCTGGTCCAACACTCTACCCATTGTCCTATTGGAAACTTGTTGTGAAACAAGCTACGCATTGCACAACAACACCGTGACGGCTTTCGTACCGAAGTGGAGTGTCACCCAGGGGTTGCTAGGTAAGGGGCTGAACGCAGGTTCCTGTGGGTTGTCGTACAGCTTGTGACATCACATTTGACGGAAGTATAAAACTTGTCATTAATATACATTAAAAATACATTTACTTACAGTAAATATGCCATTTACAGTAAATAAGCCCCTGGGTGCATTTTTTTTTGGTCCTAGGACTGTTTTTTTAAGAAGTACATTCCCAAAATTGAGTAAAAAAACTTTTAAAAAGTGAATTTTGCATAATAGGTCCCCTTTAAACTAACAAAAACAAAAATGTACCACTTCGGCACAAGTAAATAGTTTTCCAAGGAAACAATTCAAAGGTCTGAAGGAAGTTTAAATTTCCCTGCTTTTTAGCAGCATGTAAATGCATCATTTACGCACAAATCTGGGAGCTCTCCGGCAGCGTGAAAACAGTCTAAAAATGATTTGTGCAACCGTAACCAGGTCTGTGCATAAATGTAGTTTTGTCTGTGTGTATTTAAAGACTTGTGTGCATGGGAGCCAGTTTGTGTGTGTACTTATCAGATTTGTGAGAGTGAAGATAAAAAAATTGTGTGTAAAATTTTAATGTTTGTGTAATTTATATTTGTGTGTGTGTACTTTTATTCTGTATTCGTAACTTATTAATATTTGTATGTACATTTAAATACACACTTACAAATACCCGAAGTTACGCACAAAACATTTTTTATGGGTTACAAATCATATTTTACACACACAAACTTTATTACGCACAGACAAATTTTATTACGTACAGACAAACTTTATTACACTCACACAAACTTTATTACGCCCACACAAACTTAATTAGTCTATTTTCTCTCCATAGTTTCTGGGTTGTTACTGATCCAGATTTTCTTCAGTGTTAGGTTTTTCTATTTTGAGGTTAAATTATTATTATTTTTTATTTATTCTTTCAGTGTATATTTTCAGTGCTCTCTTTTGTGTTGAATTTGTTTCTTTGCCTCCTGGTGTTTCTAGCCATCCTCAGTACTTTGCTACAGTTAGCCTCTGCTCCTCAGTCCTGCCACACCTGTTCC